TGCACGTCGTAAAGAAATGACAATTATTCCTCACAAAATAAACCGTTTTGTCGGTAATCGTTGTTACAGCTCTAATCTCTCTACTCACCGTGATGCAGCACAACAGCCCACTGATACAATGACACATATAAATAGCATTTACAGCCTGAAACATTGCATTGTGTTTCCTGTGTTACGTATTCAGCGTAACGCGCGAGTGAGTAAAGAAGTGACGAGTCGGCTGCTTCTGTTCGCCGTCGCCCACGAATCACCGTCCTGCTGCCGGCGCGTCGACAGACGGGAGGAGGACGAGCAGAGCGGCGGGAAGCTCTCCGACCTTTCATTTCCTCGCTGCAAAGCCCGAAGGGAAATTAGCGAAGGGTCAGATTACCACGCTCTTCCTCCTCCTCCTCCTCCACCTCCTCCTCCTCCCACAGCGCGGACAAAGAGCAGCAGCGTCACGAGTGATTCATGTGGCTTTGTGACGCTTTACCTGCACAGTTCTCTGGTTACCGGTTGAGTAGTCCAACGTTTACTAGTTCAGAGGCCTCACGTGTACCTGACGCCACCAGGAGGAAGGAAGCGTGTGGCGGTTTATCGCTCATCGTGTCCTGAAGATCAAATCCGCCCATCAACCAGAAGGAGTTTGGCAGCTTGCTCTGTTTTTATTGGTGGTTGTTGTTGTTGTGAAAAGGCCGTAAAGGTAAACGCCCTTATGACATCATGAGCACGTTTTATCAAGCGTTTTACTCTGCAGTGTGTAAATACACATTTCCATCTGTGAGTCCTCAAAGCCAATGACCACAAGCTCCTGAGAGCTAACCGCTAGCCGCTAACAAAGCTATGCTAATTCGGCGCTAAGCCCCCTTTTGTCTGTAAATCCGTCCCAATAAAAGTCCCTTGTTAATGTGTTATTGTAAAAGCTTTTACTTTGACAGTGACCTTCTGTCCCCTTTGCGTCCCTCGTTAGACGGAAACGTCTTTGTGTCTTTATGCTTCAACAACAACAAACGACCGCCGCGCGCTAATAAGATATCGTATCAGCACAGTTGGGAGGATTATTTGGGTTTGGACCTTTTTGTTGTTCCAATCAAGAACAGAACAATATTCCCAGATTTACATTGTTAATCCGTCTGTGGACTCGTTGCCTTGAGAGACAGAGAGGGGGGGGGCTTCAGTCTGGACCCTTGTTCTGTCTGCCCCAACACACACACACACACACACACACGCACACACACACACGCACACACACACACGTATTCTATGTAATGTGCTAACAGCCCTGATACTGCATTCAGAGAGTGGCCGCATCCAGTGAGAGAGAGAGAGGGTGTGTGTGTGTGTGTGTGTGTGTGAGTGTGTGTGTGTCTGTGTGTGTGTGAGTGTGTGTGTGTGTGTGTGTGTGTGTCTGTGTGTGCGCTATGTGAGGAATGCAGCAGGTCAGGTATTTGTCTCCTGTACTTTGTTTGCTCGTTTTGCTAACAGCAGGTATGAAACCTGGAGTGTGAGTCTGTGAGTCTGTGTGTGTGTGTGTGTGTGTGTGTGTGTCTGTGTGTGTGTGTGTCTCTGCACATGTTTCAGCAACACGCTTCTTCACGCCTTGTTGTTACAAAGGTCCATCAAACAGGGGAAGACGGGTCGGTGCTGCAGTGAAAGCAAAGCCGTGAACTAACAGAATAAAACCACAGGAACCATGAAGATGAAGGTCGGCGCACGTTGATCATGAATCACTGTGACGACATGAACAACAAGATGTTTGTTCCCTTCTGCACCACAGCCATCATACTAAGGCGCTGGGCAAGTTAGCATGTGGAACACGACGTGGAACCCGACGTAGAACCCGACGTAGAACACAACGTTCCCATTGACTCCCATCAAGAGTTTATTGGGGGTGAAAGTGACACATTTAGTTTCATACAGTTCAGCTTATATAATAATAAAGCTGATCGGGGCTTTTAGTCTTTGACCCGGTTCGATGTCAGAACTGCCAGTTTACATTTGAGGGTGAACGTTATTTTTGTGGCACATTCAGCTCCTTCAGAGAAGTAATATGTTTCATCGCTCCTCTTGGTTCCAGGTTTTTACTCGACTCCTTTTAGTGCTGTTTGGAGTCAATGACGTCACAGCAGGTTTTTCCCTTCGGCGGCTTTTATTCAAATAATCTGCAAAAGGCAAATGACAAGTTGGTTTGTTTGTCTCAGGACTCACGATGTGTGTCAGAGCAGTAAGACTCTGTGGGCTCATGGTTCCAGAACGCCTGGTTCTGTTCAACCTACACATATGATGGGAAATCAGTACGTCAGTCAAAACATTCCTACATTCAATATTTCTAAAGTTTCAGCCACTTTCTGGCTGGAAAAAGTATATTTCTGTGTGGTCTTTGTGGGCTCGGGTCATTTTTCCAGTTGCAGGGCAACAGGAAACTATCAGGTGACTAGTGAAGTCTTCTGGTGTCGGTCCTGTATTGAGTTAAGCCTCAAGTCCTGTAGGTGGCACAAAGCAGCCCTTCAGTCCTCCGAGGGGGGGACGGGTTCCTGTGAGGGGTCACAACGAAAAGACTCTTTCCAGGTTCAGAATCTTTACTCGGTGATCCAAGACAAACCAAAAGTAGCGCAGGAACAAGAGGACTTCACACGCTGGGGAGGGAAAAGGAAAAGGCAGGAAGACCAAAAAGAACCACGAGATGGAACCAGCAGCTGCAGGTCAGACTGTCCTCGGTCTCCTCGGTCTCCTTGGTTTCCTTGGTCTCCTCGGTCTCCTTGGTCTCCTTGGTTTCCTCGGTCTCCTCGGTTTCCTTGGTTTCCTCGGTCTCCTTGGTCTCCTCGGTCACCTTGGTCTCCTTGGTTTTCTCGGTTTCCTCGGTCTCCTTGGTCTCCCTGGTCTCCCCGGTCTCCCTGGTCTCCCCGGTCTCCTTGGTCTGCCCGGTCTCCTTGGTCTCCTTGGTCTCCTTGGTCTCCATGGTCTCCTTGGTCTCCTTGGTCACCTCAGTCTCCTCGGTCACCTCGGTCTCCTTGGTCTCCTTGGTCACCTCAGTCTCCTCGGTCTCCTTGGTCTCCTTGGTCTCCTTGGTCACCTCAGTCTCCTCGGTCACCTCGGTCTCCTTGGTCTCCTCGGTCTCCTTGGTCTCCTTGGTCTCCTCAGTCTCCTCAGTCTCCTCGGTCACCTTGGTCTCCTTGGTCTCCTCGGTCTCCTCGGTCTCCTTGGTCTCCTCGGTCACCTTGGTCACCTCGGTCTCCTTGGTCTCCTCAGTCTCTCTGAAGGACTCCGGCTCGTGTTGTGATACAACGATCAGCATGAAGCAGGTGTTCCTCCAACACGAGCTTCTATCTGGCAGAGAACCTCAGCAAGATGCGCACAAATAGTTGGTTGATTTCACGTCATGTGGGATAGAAACCTTTAATCCTCCCGATCATCTCACGTCACTATGAACACAGCCCTCAGCGACTCAGTCACCTGCTGCACAACAACAACAACAAGGGATGATGGACTGAGATGGAACGAGTCTTAACCGTCCACCATCTTTTGGTATTAATCCGTCAGTCGGGCAGGTTGGATCGTGTTCTTTTAGTGTTGAGGAAATATGATTTTAATGGTTTAACAAGCGTTAATTCGTTTTATTAGAGACGGACCTTCACTACCTCACGTTCACCTGCTCAGCCCATCAACGGTACCTCGTCCTGTCCAGGGGTTTTATATCAAAAACCTTCCTGTAGATATGAGATATGAACTTTGACTCTGCCTCATGTAACAGAGGTCCTGTGTGTTAATGGTCCGCTCAAATGTACTATTGTACTATGTGTACTATATACTTACACTTTGTGTACCACGTCTCCATCGCTCTGCTTCACTGCCCGTCTTCATTTAAGTGGATTATTTCTGCTGTAGGTCACAGGAAACAGCGGCTCTGCATCCTGTCCTGAAATAATATATAAAATCTGCCACTTTCAGACACGTAGAGATAAATTGCTATAAAAGTAGCTGCTAACTCATGTGTGAGCGAGACGCCAAGATACGAGATGAAGGCTTCAACAGTTCCACAGACAAGGGGGGGGTGGTGTCGTCGTGTCCATGTCCACTGTTTACATGTGGTCCACATGTGTTTTCCATTGGTGGGTAACTGGGTGAGTGAGGCTCTGCTGGACAGCGTTGGTTTCATCCATGTAACCTCAGATCGGCAGGACGGGACCGGGGACAGGACCCCATTAACGATGACGTGTCTCCTTTCAGAGGGAGAACCCGTCGTTTTTGCCACCAACTCGCTGCAGCGGCGTAAAAAGGGGCTCGGCCTAACCGGACTGCGCACCTCCGTCTCCGGCTCCGCCCACTCAAAGAGCCGGCCGGGCCTCATGATCGGCCTGCCGCAGAACTTCCGGCAGATCTCGTCCATCATCGACGTGGACATCTTGCCCGAGACCCACCGGCGCGTGCGGCTCCACAAGCACGGCACCCACAAGCCGCTGGGCTTCTACATCCGGGACGGCGTGAGCGTGCGCGTGACCCAACAGGGCGTGGAGAAGGTGGGGTCACTCGTTGGTCTGTGGGCGTAGACGACGCCTTAACCTTTGTAATGACTGCGTGTCGCTGGCCCCGTAGGTCCCGGGGGTCTTCATATCCCGCCTGGTACGCGGCGGGCTGGCAGAGAGCACGGGGCTGCTGGGGGTCAACGACGAGATCCTCGAGGTCAACGGCATCGACGTGGCGGGGAAGTCGCTGGACCAGGTACGTGCGCCGCGCCGCGAAGCCTCCCGTGGCGACGTGGTGCCGCCGTGCTGAGTCTCTCCTCTCGCTCAGGTCACGGACATGATGGTGGCCAACAGCCACAACCTCATCGTCACCGTCAAGCCGGCCAACCAGAGGAACAACGTGCTGCATCGCGCCAGCAAAACCTCAGTGGGAAACTCCGTGAGCTCAGCCGGGTCACATGACTCCCCAAGCCCCGCCTCCCAGAGCAACCCGCTCACCGCCAGGTAAGGCGTGACCGTCGCACCGAACATTTTTGCATTTTTATTAAACCAGCTGTTGCGTATTCGTGATTTCCCCCTTCATGTGTTGTTGCTTAGCAACAGCATCGCCGAGGGCGACAGCGATGACGACGACGGCGACGACGGCGACGGCGACCTCATCCTGGAGAGCGACTGCCTGACGCCCTTTGACCCCCATCTGGTAACCAACAGCAACAACGCCAACCTCAACAGAGACTCGTCCGGGCCGCGCGACCCGGCCGGAGCTCGGCCCCTCCCACACAGCGTCTCGTTGCCCAGTAGCGTAGCGGCGTCCCTGAGCGACAGCTCCGCGGCGCCGTCCAACCACAACGGAAATCCCGCCCACGCGTCTCGTACCAGCCAGGAGACCATGAGAGAGGACGGCAACGTCCTCACGCTGTAGCCACGGCAACGCCGACACGCCCCCCCCCCCCTCCCCCTGTGATCACCGGGACCGCGAGGGGTTACGGCCGCACCGCGCGGTTACCAGGGCAACCGCCGAGCTTCACAGAAACAACAATATACAGTCGGCTGAAGGAGATTTAAGGCGTCAGATTGTTGCCACACGTTGGTTTGATGTCACCGCGGCGAAGAAGACGCCTGCTCGCCTCGGCGCGTACGCGGTGAAACCTTCAGGGCGCCGACGCTTTGCCCGTTTTCCCGACGCCTGTTTGCCTCTGATGGAGATTTGAATCAACACGAGCGACTTTTCTCTCTTCGTCCATTTAAGTTCAGTCGCAAAGGAACGTGGACGGCGTTCACCGCCGCTTTATTCTGTATGGAAGGTTTCTTCAAATCCCCGCGGACACCTGAAGGCATCACCGCGGGGAGGACTGCATTGAGCCAATCAGAAGGCAGCAGTGATGTAATTAACTCAGGGTGTATTATTAATCCCCCACACGCCCTAATCTATATTATTTATACAAATCACAGAGCTCTGCGCCGCGAGTCGCTCGCCGCAGGAACGTTTTACTTAAATCTCAAAAAATATATTCAAGACACTGATTGACTTTAATATGAAACAAAAGGAATTTGATCAGATCTGAAATCCTTTTTTAAATTAAGATTTTTCTTCTCTTTGGATCATTCGTTGAAAAATCACCTTGATTTATTTCATCGGTTGGGTTTAAAAAAACATCTTTTAAATATGTGTAATTAAAGAGAAATGAAGTTCCATTCAGGCTGATCAGTTCTATGAATAAAGCTTCTACCTGCTGGACAACACGCAAACACAACGGCCGTGAATCGCAAACATCGTGTCGCACTTTGGCTGATTTACCGACTCATTCTGAGAAAAGGGTTTAGAGGAAACGGAAAAAGTGTTTCAACGCCGGCACTCGTACAAAACACACTCCAAATAACAGAATAAAACTCCTGTTACTCCCATCTTGCTCATATACACAAGTGTGTGTGTGTGTGTGTGTGTGTGTGTGTGTTTCCCTCTGCTGGCGGATTACAGACGTAGTCGAAGCGCTGACGGAGTCGTGCAGTTTGCAGGTTTTTTTCAGTTGACAATTTAAACTTTATGGTAAAACTAACAGAGTTGGTTAGTTGGTTAGTTAGTTAGTTAGTGGTTTCCCCCACATCGTGTTCAAAGTGAGAAGAATGACGCGGGCGACGCCGAGCGGACGCTCACTTCAACCCAGACCGCAGGCGGAGCTGCCGAGGCGGGTGGAGTAGACGTAGCATCTCCAACCGACCTTTAACTGACTCTGCATTTCCCCCCCAGACGTTCTCTTCTCTGTAACCGGGTTTGAGAGCAGAGCTCCACGCGTGTTGAAAGCATCACCGCAGCAACAAGTCATCACCCGTTTGTCTGATTACGTGTGAATGCATCACGAAGCCTGTTTGAGGGAATCAGCTGGAGGTCATTTCAACACACACACACACACACACGCTTTTCTATTTTGGTCATTTAAATGTAATTTACTGTAAATAAATGTGAGATTATGAAATAAGGGCGATCTTCAGTACACGGGAGATGTTTTTAATGTAAGAGAACATTTTATATTAAGTGTTAAAATATGGAAACTATTTTTCTTATTCTTGTACTTTTAAATTCTATTGAGAGGAGACGGAGCGCGGTGGTGTGTGCGTGTGTGTGCGTGTGTGTGTGCGTGTGCGTGCGTGTGCGTGCGTGTGTGTGCGTGTGTGTGTGCGTGTGTGTGCGTGTGTGTGCGTGTGCGTGTGCGTGTGTGTGTGTGTGTGGTAGGTTGTTGCTGAATGCGTCCACATGCGCACCGCGGTCTCTGAGTTCCGCATGCGTCTCTCGTCTCTCGTCTCTCGTCTGTTTTCTAACAGCATCAAGTGCATTTTAAAATGATCGCATGACTAAATGATCCCCAAACTAAACGCTGCCGCGTCCTTCTGACGCGCAGCATCGTTGTATGAACCGATCATACGTGTGTTCCTGCCGACTCACGCTGGGTTTGATGCTTCTGAAGGAAAGAATAATAAAACATGGATTACTGGGCGAACCGGACCGGACATGTGCACCATCATGTACGAAATAAAGTAATAATAATGTCTCTAGCAGGTTCATTTGGCCCCCAGCGAAGCAGTGAGACGTGTAGCTTAGCTTAGCATAAGACGCTCAGCTCCTCCCCTAGTTTGCTGAATAAAAACTATATTGTAAAAGAACATAAAAGGTTCTTGTTGAAGTCGTTCGTTACCTCCTGAGCCACCGTCTGTAATAGAAAGCTGCACATGTCGTTGAGGTGGAGCGACTGGACATTTCTGTCCTGTCTTAATGTCTCGTCTTTATTAGCTCGGCCCGCTAGCACTTTTTGACTGAAGTAGGCAAGTGCCCCCCCCCCCGCTTTCAGTCTCCATGCTAAGCTAGGCTAATCGTTTCGGTACATGAAGGACTCGCTCAATGTGCAGCCGTTTCTCCTCAAGAAAACGCAAAGACGTTCTACTAATCTGCTTCTTCAATTAGGTTTTAAAGGAACACTTGTTTCCTCCCAGGTTACAATCACAGTGTTAAATACCTTAAAACTGTGAAGGACCAAAGAAGCGATAAAAGGTATAAAACGATGGAATCACTTGGTTTTCTTAACATGACAGGTTTGCTAAATAAAATAAGTAGCTTGTCATGTCGTTGTTTCATGGATGTACGTTTTAAATTCTCTCTTGATGAAGCTCCTCTCCACACTTTGCTCCGTGCTGCTCCTCCCTGCGGCGTAGAAGGTGAAGGTCACGGGTTCAGTGTGGTCGGAGAACCACAGGGAGGCTAAATGGATCCCCTGAGACTCTGAGCTGCACCGACTCAGCAGAAAACAGCCGGTGCTGCCTTCAAGGTCACATTGCTCTTGATTGTGTCTGCGGCCCATTTGGTGATGTTGGTGGAGGTGATGGTGGTGGTGGTGGTGGTGGAGGTGGTGGTGGTGGTGGAGGTGGCGGTTCGTGTGCCTGAGCACAAAGTGAAGGTGTCTCCTCAGACTGTACAAGCGTTTAGAAAACAAAGGAAGTGCCTTTTTTGAGCAAGAACGTTCTGAACACTGCTGGTTTCTATCTGTAACTGAACTGTGAGTCATTTAAAGATCAAAAAATAAAACATTAAAAAGCCCCACGTGTGATTATATTTCCTTTTTTCTTTCATGCGAACCGTTTTCCTGGATTCATTCTCTCCCTTAGTGTCTAACGGCGGTCCGATGACGAAATCTGATGTTTCTGCTGCATTTGTCGTTTGTAGAGCGGAGAGCAGGTTGTGCGTCAATTAGTCAACTTCCATTACCACTTTTTACGAGGTTCAGTTCGTCTGTTGAGTTCTGATGAACAACATTATTCATTTAAACTAAAGTAGTTTATTGAGTAGCTGGTGTGAGTTTATCATATGAACTCCACAACCAGTCAAATGAGTTTACTAATGATTGATATGGGGGATTATTAAGTGTCTCCAAGTGAGCCGTGCTGTTTCTGTTACGCCTCTCTGAAATATTAAGAACGTAAAATGAGTCATTTTAGTGTTTTGCTTTCAGAATGATGAAGAACGGAAGATTATTCAGTTATCGGGTTGGTGTCACGTTTCCAGCTCCGGAATTAATAACAGTTCGACACAAACTCACGAGGTCTCTGCTCCTTCGGGGCCTGAAACCCAATATGTGGGAAAAAGAAAAAACAAACTATGGAGACCACCTCGCGGTGGAACCTCACCGGCCTCACGTGGGAGAAGTTCCTCCTTCAGGTTTAGGTAACAAATCCACTGAAAGGAAGCACCAGATGTGAGGCTCTGCAGAGGGAGGAAGGGTCTTAAACCTGAAGCCTCTCTGCCGACCATCAGGGGGCGACTCCTCGGGGCGACTAGAAACCAAACGACAACTTCGAGCTGCCGTCTTGTTCCTTTGACCCGCGGCGTCACCCGGCCGGTCCGGAGAGAGAAGGTCACCTCCTCATGGACCTCACTTTGCAGGACCGGACCTCCTGGTTCACTCGGACCTCCTCGGCGGAGACCGTGGGGTTAAAGTTCATACCCGTCTCCCTCCCAAAAAGAGAAAGCAGGAGGCGCCTAAGCTGATTACGGCAGCAGCGTAGTGGAACAGAAATGCGATCGGGCCAAGCGGAGGTGATCAGCTGAACCAAAGCACGCCGCTGTTTGTGCAGCCGAAGGCCAACAGAGCCCGGTTTCATGGTTGGAGGAAACGAGGATGTGGGAAGAGAAACGCGGCGCTCACGGTGTTCACGTGGAAGTTCTCTCGCCTCAGTTTAAAGTTACTGTGAGAAATCCTTCAACTGGTTGTGAAACGTCTTCCTGACGTGTGAACGTTTCTTTTGTTCAGATCATTTATTTGCTTGTTTCAGGCAGTTTTGCACAAAACTCACCTGGTTCTTGCGCTTGATGACAAAGCCGTGACATCAGCGAGCACCGTTCACGCGCCGGAGCGCCAGCGAGGGTCGAGGACTCGTGTCCATGCGGATCGAACCCTTGAAGGACGAGCTGCTCTCTGCTGAGCCGCTGTGACATAATCCTCTTAACCGGGATCTGTGACCAAAGGTCAGAGTGAATAACTTGAACTGTCTTTGTACTTTTGACCCATTGACTTGCCTTTCTTTGTCCATATTTTACAACCTTGTTATGCTGTTACACTTGTGTGTACTTAATCATTTTAACTAAGAGACAACTGAAGCCTGGGCCCTAATTGGTCGGCATGCGGCCAATGAGACTTTATGTTATCGGGGCGCCATGGAGCTTCGGTCAGCCTCCATCTGAAATATTTATAATGAAGAGAAAACTTTTTATACACCGATCAAAAGTTTTGCAAAATAAGTCCTTAATAACAGAACATCTCTCTGTGATGGAAACATGTTTCATTGAGTGAACAAGTTTATGAATTGCAAACGCTGAGATGTGGTCGTGATAAAGAACTGAGCCGCAGTGTCTCACGCTGAGAAGATGCTCGTCTCTGGCTGTAGAGACACGACCAGTTGGTGTGGAGGCCACTTGCAGGTAGAAGAACCCGCCTGGTGGCGGAGGAGGAAGGTCCTGGCGCTGCAGCAGGGAGATGGTCCAAATGCAGAGGGAGCGTCCCGCCGTCCCACTACTGAGAGTCCGTATGGAGGGTTTGTGTAATATATATATATATATATATATATATATATATATAATATATATATATATATATATATATATATAGCTTCCTCTGGTGACCCTCTTGTTCAGCGGCACATTGCTAAGAATTGTGGGTAATTCCCATGGACGAAAGATGCTCAGAAAGACGTCACACAGGTGCAATCTAGTGCGTTGCATTTAATTTAAGTTTAAGAAAAGCACCACTTGATGTATTAGATGCAACAAGGGCATTTTGTTGGCTTCTTACACACAGAGATTCTAATTATTTTGCCGATTCACCATAAAGGTTGTGAAACAATTACAACAAATGTACAAGAAAAACATACATCACGCCGTGTGTCTTATGATGCTTCATTCACTAAATGACGTTTGCTCAGCTTGGCTCCACAGTTGAGATCCGAGCGGATGACAGAGGCTCATCATCGAGGATGCAAATAACGCCGGCTGTTGGCGTCCAGCGAGCTTCCCTCCACAACAACTTATGAATGAAGGGTTCATCTCTCTGTTTGTGCATATTTCACATCCTTATATACAGACGTGCACATCTGGTTCATCACCTTATCGGGTAGGTTAGTGTACTAAAGTGATGTGGGGAAGAATAAAGAGAAAATCTACACCTTTGTGAGGATAAAAGCACCATCAGGTGTTCTGCGATCAAACGACCCCCTCTAGTGGTCATGAGGACACACGGCAGCCGTAGAGGTCAAGACCGGAAACGTTTACAGACCATCTCCCATCATTTATTCAAAGCATTTAGGTTCTTCTGTACAATGAGCGAGACAACAAGCCGCTGGTGTTCCCTTTGGCACCACCCTCC